AACGTTAACGTAAGTAACGTAACGTAACGTAAGTAACGTACGTACGTACGTACGTACGTACGTACGTACGTACGTACTACTACGTACGTACTACTACTACTACTACTACTCTCTCTCTCTCTCTCTCTCTCTCTCTCTCTCTCTCTCTCTCTCTCTCTCTCTCTCTCTCTCTGAGGTTTTATTAAAAATTACACACACAGAGGACCAAATGAATGATTGAGAAAACAAATAACAAAAATTCAACATTTATAAATCACATAAAATAGCAGAAATAAAGCAGAACAACCAGAGAAACAAAAGGCAATGAAGCATAAATGTATCATAAAACTTGAGAAACATTTACCAGCTTCCAGTGTGAAAGCAATTTCTTATAGGTGATGGATTATATAAGATAGAAATTCAACAAAAACCAAAACTAGCCAGAAACCCATTCTTGCATTATAAATAGAAATTAAAAAAAAAAGGGGGGATGTTAAAGAAAATCTCACCTCTGATGAAACAGAACCAGTTGGGAAGAAACCCAATAAGTAGAAAGCCCTTGATCTTCAAAAATTATGAACCCCAATTGGGGCTACTTGATGAACCTCTATAAAAAGCCAACGAAGAAATCATGCGGTAGTCTTGTACCTTTTTCAATGGGGATCGAAAAGTTGCCTTTTTTTTAGTGCCATTTGTAACAAAGATCCAAGTGTAAACTACAATATGGCACCACTTACCCCAACAAGTAAACGGGTCTGGTCGGGTCCGAGTCCCCAGGTCATGTTGCTGAACCCGGATTCAACCCGCTAGGTCGTGTCAAGCTCAGGTCGTTGGACCTGGACCTAACTTGTGAGGTCGGGTAATTTAGATAAAAGAAAATTTTGTTTTCTTCTAAAACCTTATCTAATAATATATAAATAAATAAATAAATTTTATTGTCTATATCTTGTAATACATAAATAAGAGTCTAGTTTGCGTCCCTAAACAATCAACATAAGGTGAACAGCCAAATTTTATCATAAGATATAATTTTGGTGTAAAAAATTCTTAGGATGGCCTCTGATTCTATTTTTATCTCTAATTATAAAATTTTAGATTAAAAAATGGTTCAAATCAAATATAATTATAAACACATGAAAATATTGAACACAGACGGTCTTAGATAATGTGTTGCAAGATGCCCTACGAAAAAACTTTTTAAGATGGAATTTTTAAGTGCACCTTAATTCTTCATTTAGGGTTGCAGCCTTATTTAAATTTTTTTCTTATAAATAATATTATATAAATACCTATATTACATATAAATACCAAGTCAAATCGGTTAGACCTCTACTTAGACCCTACCTGACCTGATAACGCCTAGGACCCGACCCGACATGCCTGACCTAAACTTGTGTTAGGTCGACTCGTCAGGTGGACCCATCGACCGGTCTCCAGTTATAAATAAGGTGAAAAGAGGCCATGCAATTAACCATAGAGATGGACTTAAAAAATGGAGTAGAGAATGTCAATAAAGAAGATACTTTTTTGGCCTGAGATAAAATATTATGGGAGTATATATAGTTATTATGTATTTTATATAATTTAAGCTTCGAGTCATGGGAAGAACACATGACATTGAAATAGAGTAGGACAGCATAAAGAGATTGTCTAGGGCAAAGTATCTTTTTAAGATGCTTCTTACCTAATTTAATGGATATATCTTGACAAACACCCTCGTCGTTAAGTTAGTTGGGAATATATATTAGAAGGGAAGCTCTCATTTTAATCAATACTTTATCTAAAGGGTAAATATTTTGTATATAAGATACAGAATATTCTATCTTGAGAATTATTAGCATTGGAAACCTAAATCCGAGGGAAAGGGACGGGGTTGTGGTGGTTGCACCCCACACCTTAGTCACGACATTGTAGTTCTCATTCCCACTAATAGCACCCACCAACACCTTAAAAAACTAACTCCTAAACTATTTGAAAAATGGACATGTCTTCTCCACTTAATTACCTCCACTTAATTACCCAAAAAAAAAAACCGAAATCCTATTTGCTAAAGAATTTATTTTTGGGATTGAGATTGTAATCACAATTAAAATCGCATCCAAGCAAGAATATTTCAAGCTTAAGGGAAAGTGATATACATGTGCTATTGTGAAGGGAAAATTTTGCAAACCATCAACATTTAACATTGGAAAAAGTTTATATAGAGCCGAGGATCTAAACAATCAAATTAGAGCCTACCTCACATTAGAAGAGGTTGTTTTGATGCCCGAATATCCTCAAATTGATCATCTCGACATCAAGATGATTTCAAGTTTTGAAAATAGTATATTTTGTGGCGTGTTTTTGGACCGTCAATTTTCAAGATTTTCAAGTTTTTATAGATCTGTCGCTCTACACAATTTTTGAATCTTTAAACTCTATAAATAAAGATAAAAATATATTTTAAAGCCATCACAGAGATTTCCAATATTAAAACTGCATTTGTTGACACTCTTTGAAAGTAGGTAGGTTCTAATTTAATGATTTAGAGCCTAGGCTTTATACAAACCTCACCCATAAATATTTCACCTCACACCCTTTTCTAGTGCAACTTTCTCTCTCTACTTTGGTATCCTCTCTCTCCATAAAGGTGAAGTTAATTGCTTAAATCAATGGCCAATGATACCAAATGAAGACAAAAAAAGAGCCAAAAATAAAATAAAAAAAGAAGCTCATAGTCGTAATCAGTGTTTGAAAAATCTTCGATCAAGATCGAAATTGGATCAGATATCGTTCAAACGATCCAAATCCAATGATATATCGAGATCCAAAAAAACTAAGTTTTTACATTATTGATGGAAAAAAATAAAAGTTAATAATGTAGTGCTCTCATTTCTTATTGGATTATTAAAAAACAACATTTCTAATGAATTTTAATAATTTTTTGAGATTTTTTTAAAGCTTACTCCGTCTGGTTCGACTGACTCCTGATTCAGATTGCCAATTCACCGATCCCGAAAAGTTTTTGGAGTGCCCAATCCAAAGCGCCGATCCAATTTTTAACCTATTGGTCATAGCGTCTCATAGCCCATGTGTCTCGCACAAACTAAAAAAACACAATGATTTACTTTAAAGAATCCAAAGATTCTATTCACCCAATCAAAAAGTCTATTCAATTGACACACCCTTACCAATGGCCACATGCACAACATGCACTTGTAACAGGCTCTATGGTCTGATCGGCGTCTCATAGTAATTTTTTGGATCTAAGTCTAGTTCGGCCGGATTAAAACCCAAACCGACCTATTGCCACCCCTATACCCGGATAGTTTCCCGCGGCAATTCTATGCTCAACTTCTCCAAAATATGACAAAATGTTATTAATAGAAGTTGCAACTATTTTCATTGAAAGTTCTTTGGCTCCATGTACTTTGTTGACAATATGATTCACAAAACTTAAACCCATAACCAATTACAAAGAGATGAGCAATCACAAAGAAGCCCTCCTCACACACACACTCCATTTTTTGCCAAATTAGTGGGCATTTGTCCTATTGTATTAATATCCCAACTTCACAAGTGATGTTTAATAAGCCTAAGACCAAATACTGTTACAACATTGTGTCATGGATTTAGAGGTTCCACCATATGCTGTTGATATACATACCTCATCTATATTTGGATGAGGCATCTAAAATTTCCTTAGAGATGTTCTAGAACCTTACGATGGCTTGAAATATATTTTCATCTCTAGTTATAAAATTAAATTTTTTAAAAATAATGCATATCGAACAGATAAGTAAATACTTTAAAATCTTGAAAATAGACAGGGCAGATAACTTTTTACAAGATGCGCTATTTTTTTTATTTAAAATTCTTCTTTTTTTTCTTCATGTTCATCATCTTCAGGTCAAGATAATCGATTGGCTCTCCAACGCCAGAAACACTCTCTTCTATAGGATTTTTTAGGTGCACCTTGCTGTAATAATATAAAGTTGAAAACTTATATAAATATTTTCTTTTACATTTTGACTTCCAAGGGGTTTTTCTTTTCTTTACTTTTCTTTTTTTCTTCATATGACTTCCATGGGCTTTCTAGACTAAGTGTTACCAGTCATTGACTCTCACACCAAGTTAGAGAGACAAACCAGCAAATTGGACTTTAATCTCACTCTCCAAGGAAACATGCATATTGGAGGCATTGATCAATTAGCATAACTGAACATATAGAATTAGATACAATAAGATAGCTATGAGCATGCAATAATAGAGTAGGTATCTGACTTTGCATTGTTGCTGGAGTGCCAAACACCACTCAAATTGCAAAATCATCAAACTCATAGAGAATTTAATGGACTGTCCCATTAACAAATCAATTTTTTTTATTGGAATTAAAAAGCAAACAATTTCAGGCGCCCATAAATATACATTTTCTCTTATTTTGGAACTCAATAACTTCGTTGAAGTTAGTAACTTTAATTCTTAAATTTTATTTTTCAAAATATAAAATATATTTTCGCCATATTTAAAATTTTAATCATAACAACTGAAATGTACATTGCCAGTGCTCATCATTGCTAGCTAGCCATACAATCCACTCTATGAAAAAAAAAGATAAAGAATGTGATGGTTTGCCTTCAAAGAAAGATAAAGAATGAAAAAATATTTGGTGGGGGGGGGGGAGGTGGTATAAAAAATCTTCATAATTTTCTCAAATATCTTTATCTTTCTTTTTTCTAATAAAAAATACAAAAGAAAAAAAGACAGATAAAAATAACATTTAAACCTGTACCTGAGCGTCAGCGTGACTTGGAATCTTCGAACGAGAACGTAGAAACTTGCTAGTAATTTTGAGGAGTTTGTAACATATTGTACATCCTCTTCTCTCTTGATTCCCATCAAAAGAACGAGCGTTCTCTCTCTTTTCTGTCTCTGTATTTCAAAAGCAACCAGAGACGAAATGGAGTTCTCTATAACTGCAAAGGTAAGTTGCTTATCTTTTGATTATGTTGTTTACCTCTTTGCCTAGAATGTATTTTATATCATGTGTTGTCTTTTTCCAGAATATGCTTTATCTTGTCTGTCTTGTCTTTTTATTGCTGAACCATGCATTTTTAACTCCAACGGGACGTGGGATCCAATCTCCAGAAACCCTTTGGAGTTCTGGTTGCACGTAGGGTGATGGAGTTCATCGTGTGTAAAGAAGGCTATAGATTTGAAGGAATGCTCTGCGTGGCTTTCTTTCTGCCAACCATCAGATGATGTGTTTGGTCTTGGGGATTGGGTAAAAAGAATATGGGGATTAGACTGATGCCCTGAAGTCTCTTCTTTGGGAAATTGTAGGGTGGTTTTCTTTCTACAATCTATTTGTTATGTTTCTAGGGCCCTTGGGGAGAGATTCTATAGAGTTTGTAGTTTTGGTAGCCCAAGAGTGCATTCACTTTAGGATTGAAGGTGAAGAGCCAGAGGTAGTTATAAAATTTGATACGGAAAAAGCCTACGATAGAGTACAATAAAACCTTATTTTGGAGATTTGAGGAGAATGGGGTTCGAGGCAAACCGGAGGAAATAGATTTTTAGGTGTCTTTCTTTGGCCCATTTTTCAGTCGTGATTAATGGATGTCCTATATGTTTTTTCAAAGGATCTAGAGGTCTAAGGCAAGGGGACCCTCTTTCACCATTTTTGTTCACTTTGTATGTTGAATGTTTCAGCCTTATGATGTGCAATGTGGTAAATAGGGGAAACTTCCACAAATTTAAGATTGGTTAAGAAGGTTCAGTTATTACACATCTCCAATATGTGGATGACACCCTCATTTTCAGTGAGGTGGATGAGGAGCATATTCAAAATATTGGACGTTTTATGAAGTGTTGAGAAGTAGTTATTGGTTCAAAAGTTAATCTGGCCAAAACCTTATTGATAGGTATTAACTGTGTTGAGAAATTGGTGGAAGAGCTGGTGGCATCTCTAGGATTTAAGGTGGATAAATTCCTTGTCACATACTTGGGTTTGCCCATACTAGATTATCCATCTCGGTGTGGGATAAGGTGATTCAGTGTGCTCAAAGCAAGCTTGACTTATGGAAGCCTAAATATCTCTTTTTGGGTGGAAGGGCTATATTATTAAGATCATGTTTGGTGAATCTTCCAATTTACCAGATGTCTCTTTTAAAAATACCAAGTGGTGCTGTAAAGAGAATAGAAAAAATGATGAGGGATTTCTTTTGAGGATCCTACAGGGAGGAGAAAAAGTATCATCTCATGAGATGAGAGAGAGTTTGCATGCTGAAAGTACAAGGGAGCTTGAGTATCAAGAAATTTCTCTTTATAAATGAAGCTTTCCAGCGTAAATGGTGGTGGTGCAGCCTCTCTCTTAAAGGTCACTTGTGGTGTAAAGTTCTTGTGGCTAAATATGTAATAGACAGGTTTGGTATGTGGCTAGGTGGGGGGAGAGATAATTCGATTTGATCTGCTTTTTGGAAGGACATATTTTTATGGAAGTCTTATCTTTGAAGTAACATGAGATGGTGTGCGGGAAATGAAACTTCTATCTCTTTTTGACACCACAAGTGGTTGAGGGATTGTCTACTGAAGCTTACTTATCTTGATATTTTTTCTAGAGTTTTAGTGGCAAATTCTACGAGATAGTGGGACAACAAGTGCATTAGAATGTGCAAATTTCATACAATAGAATTCCAGCTAATGTTTTATCTGAGTTGACTTATTTCTTGACCCAATTAGAAGAAGTGTATATTGCTCGAGGTATAGAAGATGAGGTGGTTTGGGATATCGAAAGTGATGGAATGTTCTTGGTGAGGTCTGCTATGTTATTCAATGACCAGTGGTGTCCATCTTTGCCACAAATCGCTCAGGTGTGGAAATGACCAATTCCACATAAGGAGCAGTGTTTTATTTGGCTAGCGGGACATAATAAGATGTTGACAATGGATAACTTAACAAAAGGGGGAGAATTCTACCAAATGTTTGTTTGATATGTAAGGATGATAGGGAGTTCGGAGCACTTCTTTTGGTTCATTATAGTTTTGTTTCATATATATGGGGATTCTTTTTTAGACTATTAAGATTTAGTGTAGCTCTTCTTTAAGCGTGTTTGGGTATTATCACCCAACTAGAGGTCCCTACATTACCACAGTTAGGGAAGATTATCTAGAAGATTATTAGGGGGGCTATATTGTGGGAGGTTTGGAAGGAACGCAATAGAAAAACATTTGAAGGGAAGGTCCTAGCTATTGATAAAGTGCTAAATAATATCACCCATATCTGTTGGAGCATGCTTTCTACCACTAAGAAGGGAAGTGATATTTCTGAGGTGGATGTGAGACTAAAGTCTCGCTAATTTAGCATTCACCCATTCTGCCTGGCCTAGGCCAATTGGGCATTGGAGTCCACCAATCCAAGGATGTTTTAAGTTAAATTTCGGTAGTAGCTCATTGGATAACCCAACTGCTGAAGATATAGGAGGTGTGGTGAGGGATTGGAATGGTGCTTTTTGGTTATGCAGTCCCATTAGTGTAGCTTATGCTAGCGTTGTTCAATTAGAGGCTTTATTTCATGGTTTCTATTATTTCATCCCTAAAAGTCTGGACATGCATTGTAAGGTGGAAGGGGATTCGCTGGATATGATTAAATGGTGCAAGAAAGAACAAGAAGTTCCTTAAAAATATTGTTCTATTTGGTGCAAATTATAGATTGCTTGACAGTATCTTTTTATCGTACTTTTAGGGAGGCCAATTCCTTTACTGATGAACTTGCTAAAAAGAGGTCAATCAAGAATTTATTTTATGTGATGATGATGTAGAGATCTTGTAACCCTGTTATTTAGCAATAAATTTTGATGATATTTGTCCAAAAATAATAATAATAAATAATAATTAAAGTCTTAAAAATAATATATCTTGTAACAAATTATCTAGAGGATATATATCCGGTTTTTCAAATTTTATAACTAAGATAAAAATAGATTTTCAAGCCACGATAAAGTTCTAATACTCAGTTACATCTCTAACAAATTTTATGGTAGGCCTTGCCTCTACTGAATTTGGGGACACAACATGAGCTTGACCCTAGACTCAATGGGGGTATTTCAGAGACTTTATGAACAAACAGGGACATTTCAGTGAGTACGGGACGTGCTCTAACCCAAAAAAAAAAAAATGAGCAGATAAATGGCCTGCAATATTCCTAAAAAAAATTCACACCTCAAAACCTCCCAAAATGGCCTCGTCACCGTTACTGAACACCCTTCTCTCCTCTTTCAATGCTTCCTATTTTCCCAAAAACCCATTTTTATCAAAGACGAGTTTCAGAGGCCAAACCCTAACAATTCTCTTCAACCAAAAACCCAAACCTTCACATGATTTCAGAAAGCTTTCTGGGTCACCAGTTTTTTACGCAGAGCTTCTTCCTCTCGATTTAACTGAAGATAATGTTAACCGAGTCTTAATGGATGCCAAATCAGAGGCAAGTAACCATTAATCATTTCATCCATTTTTTTATTGATCGTTTGACAAGTTACACTATGCTGAAAAAAATCAAGTTGTAAATGAACTCAAAGGGATTGGTTTTTTCTGATTTATTTATTCTTTTTCAACTTAGTTTCACTGATAACCATGAAATCCATCGCATTTAGTAATAAAAAATGTAGGCATATTTGTAAAGACTCACTGTGAAGCAATGTAGCTATGTTGAATGAAATTTAGATTAATGTCGATGAACTCTGATGTATAAATAATTTGCTTTTTTCTTCTGTGGAACATTATTTATGTATGAAAATGTTGCAATGGAGTCAGTGATTTGATGAATAAGTGATGAATTTTGTAGTAGTACAAGTGAGCTCTGCATCACTAATAATCATAGAAGGACTATTATGAGCTCTATTACAGTGCATTAGCTGAGTTCATCGGTAAATGATCCAGAGCTCAGTTCTTCTACTACTGCTGCTACCAATGTCTGAAAACTCGGTGAGTCCAACTATGTCCCACCTGGGTTTAACTTGGACTGGGAAGGGTGCTGAGTCCGCAATCAAAACCATTGGATCTGCAAGTCTTGATGGTCCTTATTAAACTTTTAACTAAGTTGAGTTGCTTGACTCGAGCTTGGGGCCCTAGCGAGTCCCAACCCAAGTCCTTGCTTTAAAGCATTGACCGCTACTGCTGCTACTACTACAGATTTAGTTAAATAATTAAGGAACTTTAATTAAATGAGTCACTTAACCAAAGCTCGGCATTAGAAAAATGAAGAAATATAAGAAAAACTTTCAGGAATTCTCCAATGGTAAGTTTCAGATCATATATTTTACTCTGATATTTAAAGAATGAAAGAAAAAAGAGAAGAATGCTCAGACGTGTTATATGAGGTGTATCAATGCCTAGATAAAGTTGTAGCGTTAATCTATTGAAGTGATGTGAGGTGAGAATGCATAGATGTTAGTCAAACAAGATTGGCCACAAATTTGTGCAGTAAAAACCATTATTTTCTTTTTGTTTCTCGTTTTTTGCTCTACTAGATCTAGGGTGCGAGAATAACTAATGAGATGTTCTAAATCAGAGATTATAATGAGCAAGAACGAACAACTCTCACTTGAATGAGAGTGTGTACATAAACACAAAATATTGATAATATAAGGAATACTGCCCCTCAATGGTAAAGAATTGTGAAGCATTTGGACTGAGCATTCCCTTCCTTGCTCTCTGAAAAATGAAAATGATCTTTCCCGTGCTTTGATATGAGGTGTTCTTATAATATACCTCTTTTTGAGCTGCACATCATTTGATGGTAGTCTCCCTTAATCATTTAATTCTGTCATGGAAGACTGGACTAGATGCTACTGCACTTCTATTGTCATTCTTGAACAATTCCTGTCTCTTTCGAAAGAGCATGAATCCAAATCAATTCACACAGGTGGCGACTCATCTTTAGCTCCTGCACTTCAGCTTGACATTGTGCTTTTCTAGTTACTTTTGTTTACTAAAAAACTATTGGCAAATAAAGGATAGACCCCAAATGGTGGGGCATCAATCTTCTGGACAACTAGCTTGATTGACTCTCTATAAGCTTATATTAAATATTCCAAAGAGAACAGTGGAATCCCCTTAACTGAGAACTTTATTGTGCCATAGAATTTGAAAACTAATATTCAAGCAAGGAATCCTCAAACCGTGTACAATATCACAAAAGTGGGAAAAAGAAAAGCCTCCTATCATGCATGAACTTGTAACTCTAACATTATGTGAGAGATCTAGATCAGGGATCATCAATACTCTCACCTTGGTCCTTTGCAATTTTGTGTTGCTGCTTGGGGAATTAAGTTGGTTTAGTTTGCTAACACTCCACTTCTGATCAAATTTTAGTGGGGCATCATTTTATTGATATGAATGGATTACCCTTGTTGGATCTTGAAAACACAGCAGATAATAAGTATCAAAGGTTAATATAGTCCTTCATGTAAGAGAAAACGTAATGATGTTACTTAAACTATTTATATGAAGGCTTGTTCGTCCTTAATTACCACTATCTTCCGCATACACAAGTGAAAAATGTTGTGTCATGCCCTGCCTAACTTCTTTACAATCCACCTCAGGTTTAAAGATGCTTGATTAAACTAGATGTTGGTGAATTATTGTATGGAGATTGCCTGTAATAATTTGATTTCATTTTTCAGAAGATATCATAATGATATTTTAATAATGTCAGGGAGTAGACTAAAGTTTAGATTTGTTTATTTCATGAAGTGTGAAGAATGGATACTAATGATGCTTGAGATGACTAGGTACCGATAAGCTTTGCACGTCCTTATTATAGCTATTCAGCATATTTTTATTATGGAGAGTTAATATGTCAGTTAAATTGGACCAAATGCAGATATGCTCAAACATACTTTTGTATTTTCGTTTTATTTTTAACTAAGCTAGTCATATAAAATGGATATCCTCCATATATGGCAGCAATCTTGTGCTTTTATTTCATCTCACCTGAAAATTTTAAAATATGTTGGATTGATGTGATTATGATGTTAAGACTAATGTGGATTAACAGAAAACTCTTCTGTTTTCACTCTACAGTTGGCACAAATCTTTGATACCTCAGTCGGTATCACAGGTATGTATGTAATCCTTTTCCTTTTCTTGGGTGAAATATTCTGATATGGCATTGTTGGGGTGTGAAAGATGGTTTCTAATTTGTTGTACACAAAGGTTTTCAGGAGAAGCTGAGCTTGCAGAGTTGGATGGTCCTTTTGTGAAGCTCAGCCTGAAGGGTCGGTTTTGGCACAAACGATCTACAGTTTTGGCGAGGCTTGGTAATTACTTGAAGAAGAGGATTCCTGTAAGTTATCTCTTATTTACTTTGATTGAAGTGAAGTGCTAAAACCACATGGAATCATAGAACTTCATAGACATGGGGGTGAATTGTGAATGCAAAATCATGAGATTAACTTGTTCATTTTTCTCCTTTTTGAGTGGAGGGTATCTCGTTTCATTCTATCTTCCTTTCATTTATCATATCTACTGGCTGATCACACGTGCTTTGCGTGATGCTTCTAATGAATGATTACATGAAAATTATTTTTAAAAATATTTTGTTGGATTAAAAAGTTTTTATATTTCATTTTGTGTGATTCAATATTACTTCTACAATTTTTTTATATTCTATCTTCCTTTTTCTAAAAAAAATTCTTTAGTTTTTACTTTTTTATTAGCTAAGTACTATTATAGATTTTTTAAAAAAGGTTTTTTGGGAGGAATAATTGGCATATGAAAGTCTTTAGCGATTTGTTATTAAGTATTTTTTTTCGCTTGCTCTTATTTCTTCTCCATGATGGATTATTTCTATTTTAATCATGACTCATAGAAAATATAATAGAGATTTGTACTCTGAGATGGATTTTTTCTTTGGCAAGTTTATTTTGATAGCAAATCATAATATTTAAGGGGAAAAGTTTACATAGAGCCGAGGCTCTAAACAATCAAATTAGGGCCTACCTAAAAAATTTCACTAGAAGATGTTGTTTTGATGCTTAAATATCCTCAAATCGATCATCTCGAGATCAAGATGCACGGACATGAGAAAAAAAATGGATTTCAAGTTTTGGAAATAGTGTATTTTGTAACGCACTTTTGGACCATCAATTTTCAAGAACTTCAAGTTTTCATAGATCAGTCTAACTACACTATTTTTTAAGCTTTAAACTTTATAAATAAAGATGAAAATATATTTTAATTCTATCATAAAGATTTCCAGTATTGAAACCACCTTTCTCGACACTATTTGAAGGTAGGCTCTAATTTGATTGTTTAGAGCCTAGGCATACAAACCGCACCCATATCTAAGTCATTCGATTTGATGATGAGAATTTAGGGATAGAAAGAAGAAAAGATGTTTCCTGTTTTTTGTGGGGTGAGTTTGGCTTTTTTTTTTCTTTTTTTAAAAATGAGAGTAAAAAGAAATTTTAAAGTCAATCCTATTTATTCTCCCTTATATGTGTGTGTGTATATTATTCTAGGCTACAACACTATTAATGTGAACTTAAAATCTCCTATTCCAAAACTTTTTTAGCCTAAAATGCCCATGTATGTTCAAAATGACTTTTGACTAGAACTAGTTCATATATTTAGGAAGGTTATCTTTGTCATTTCAAATTTCTTTCAAAATTTTATTCATATTTTAAAAAGATTCATTTGATGATAATGAGGATGAAAAAGATTCATTTGACTTTTTGAATCATGTTTCAATTTGAGTAGAAATTCAAGAGTACTAATACACCCATTTTGAAACTTTCAAACAGCATATTGTAACTTTTAGATTTGTAAGTTTATTTTCTAGTCAAAAGTTTCAGAGTAGGAAATTTTGAGCGCACCCTACAAAGTGCTTTTTTAGACCAATTAATATATAAGATGCTTAGATCTAGGCAATAGAAGGTTTTTTTTCTTTTCCAAACTTTTTAGATGGTTTTATTACCATTGGTTGAATAATTTTAAAAGAAAAGAATGATTGTGAGTTTGTAAGGGCCAAATGGATGGTCTAGATTCAATGTTAGAGGCAATACATTTTGACCATATCTAGGGCATAAATTAAATTTTAGTTATTGGAGATTGATTATTGGGATGAAGAGATGTAAAATTTGGGGTGAAACAAATACCACATATTATTTTCTAGAAGTTTGGTTTCATTATATTACCATGATATGGTGACGTGAGATCATTCCCCTATGTCTTCACAATCAGAGCATTTCCAATTTACTTTGTCATACCAAATGTCTTCTAACTCAGCATGTGTCATTCTCATGATTTTTTCATTAGGACATTTTGGAGGTCGATATAGAAGATGAGCAGCAACTGGATGACAGCCCGGAAAACTTTTAGAGGTACTGTTTCTGGGACGTGTAGTTCGTTTTTATTTTCATTTATTTGGGTTCGATTTCTTTGGATAGCAGCAAAGAATTCTTTCCCTTATTTTTCTCAATTAGCCATAATCGCATTGCTTCAATTCATCCAAATAGCAATTCTATTCCTTATTCTCGCTTTATGAATTGCCATGCATGTTCCAGCTAAATTTAGCTATTAAATGGTGTCCTGGAGAGATCGGTTGGTCGAGGATCATTCATATCAATACTATGTCAACTGCAGAGTCTGCCTAGGCAACACTGGGAACTGTCAATAGTTTCCTAAGCTGCCTATGCTTAGATTTTACCACGTCCACTGTTAATCAATTTGGTCCTAAATTGAGTCATTTGATCGCTATTTAAGTTTAAAGGAGTTGTTTTCAGCCCCATTTTCTCCTAGTGAAAGAAAAAATGTCAATCATTTTCATTTAAAATTCCAATATTTAAGTGAAATCTGATTTTGTCGAGTATAGCTGGACCAAAATTTCATGATCAATTTCATGTCAATTGGATCAACTTGGTGTTAATTGACTGAGTTGGCTCCTTGGTCTTTTTTATGTTTTATTTTTTCCTATAGAATACAAAATTTCTGGACCCAACGAACACGGCAGAAAGCGAAGGCGCTGGTTGTTAAAATCATCTTTTTTTTGTTTGTTGTGATTTTATTTGTAAGAGAAATGAATACAGTGACACCCTTATCAGTTTCTCTTATTTTCTTCGTTGTGTAGTGTAGATGCTTTGATTCATAATATTATTCAGAGACTTAGTCTCCTCTTTCTGTCTCTTTTTTCATCCTCTTTCTCCCTCTTTTCCCAGCAAGTGGGACCAGGCCTTGGGCATAAAGTAGTTTTGGCTTCATTAAGTCATGTAAGGACATATTTTTCCCTTTCCCTCTTCTATTTTTGAGGGTTGTATGTGTTTAATGAGCACTGGATAACGACAAGATGTAGAATATTAAGCAAAGGAGCTTCTTTTTCTTTCTTTTTGTGTTCACTTTTTTGGTGAAATCGCAGTTTTGAGTATAAGAGAGAGAATCGAAGGAAGTGAGAGGGCCATGTTTTATGCGTGCTATCTTTGGGCCATGTGCTAGCACTGTCAGATGATGCTTAAAGGGCTATGGGTCAGTTTTAAAAGACATGGATTAAGGCTGTTTTTGCTTTCTCTCTCTCTCTCTCTTTCTCTCTCTCTCTCTCTAGAAATGGCTTGAGGCTGTTTGGGATCTCTCTCTCTCTAGAAATGGCTTGAGGCTGTTTTGGCTCTCTCTCTTGTGGGATGATTGATAGAATCAAATATACAGTTGAGAGAGAGAGAGTTATTTGTGTTTTGATATTAGATTAGAGAGAGAGAGATTTATTTGTGGTTTTATATTAATAAGCGGATGGTGTAGCTTAATTTAGATTAAGGAAGAGACCGATCAATGATCAGGACATTAAGAAACAATGAGAAAGGGGGGGAAACTTTATTTTTGTCTTCGTATTTGGAAGAGATTAAAAATTGGATACTGTAGATCAAGGAAAAGGTCGATCAATGATCACTACACTACATCAAAAACGAGAATAAAAATAAAGATATTCGGTAGAAAACATTTTGGGTGCTTTGGAATGTCCGCTTCTTCGCTCCCTAACCCACATAAATTCTATGCCACAAATATTTTTATCAATTAATTATCAAAGTCTCAACAACATATTTTACCATGTGTAATACAATACATACATGTTGGAAGAGCACTGTTTGATTTTTAATTTCGTTTATTTCTCCTCAGCTTTAATCACACGTGCTCTGCATCTAAATTATAGGTTTAATACTTCAATTTTATATTTTTCATTTAAATGAAAAATTGTTGGGTAATAATGAAATTCCAACATTTTGCAAGGACAATAGCGCCCCAAAGCCTCTCTGGGGTTTCTGTTTGTCTGATTGCTATTGCCAGTGTGAGATGGGCGGGTCCAGATGTATCCACGTGGACGTGCGCGTCACAGCTGGCATCTTACTGCACCGACTGGCAAGCGTTCAATCTCCACGTGGCGTTGCCGGGAGTGCCAGCGTATCATCATCGTCGGGATGAGAGAGAAAGGTCGAGCGAGAAGGAGAGTTATCCGGTCCGGAAGTTAGAGACCGATATCATCGTCTTCAGGAAGTTGGAGTGCAGTAGAAACTCATTTAAGAGAGAGATTGAGAGGGACCCCGTTTGTTTGTAAGAATGTTGGACTCCAGAAAGATAATTACTGGGAACTTCAATTTTATCACAAGCTTCCCTTTCCTTTTCTCTTTTAAACTGCCAAAGTTGAAGTGAGCCATAGGAACCCAAACTCTCTCAACTTTTTATTTTTTTATTTTTTTTGTTGAGTACTATTCTTTGTGATCGTATTCACTATTCCTTATTTACGATATACTATATATTAAATATATAAATTATATTTTAATAATATTTAATATATAACATATAATATATATATGAGCAATGATCCCATGCAACGGTTGTATCATTGCACTATATAATATTATAGATAATATATATTAACATAATATAATTCATAGTATTAGTATTATTAACCTAATATAGAGAAAACTGTTTTATGTGGGCTAGATTGCATCTCTACATATGCAATCCAGAAAGTGTAAAGCATCCATCTTGAAGATGAATGTACGTAGGTGTTCTAATTAAAAATAATGGAAACTAGTGGTCCAAATATTTTATTATTAGACTTATTATTTCTAGTTTTTGAAATTTATTTATTTTTTCATATTCATGATCTCCATGTTAGAGATTACATGTCTTAAAAAATTAATCTTAAAATCCATCTCAAAAATAGATTTATTAAGAGGCATGCGTTTTTACATATGCAAGTTTGGTTGCATAGAAATCGGGCCCATAATATAATATATAATATTATATTATATATTATATAATATTATACTATATATTAATTTATATATTATATGGAGAGAGTGATTTCATGCAACGATTGTGCAGTAATATAATGAAACAACATTAAAAAAATCATATTAGACCCATTTGTTTAACCCTAATTTTAAGATATACAGCCTTTTCAATCTAATAAACAATAATTAAAAAAAATGTGTAAAATTTGAAACACACTCCACAAGATGCTTTTTGAGCATCATGAAAAACACGAGAAACATATTATCATTTTTTAGAAAAACGGCTTGCGATTTTCAAGCAAAAGGTATTTCTAAAAGTCATTGAGAGGTGAAACACTATTTATTTTTGCCCAATAACTTTTTTAAAAAATTTTCCTGATATTATATATATTATTAATATATATTTGTTATCAAAACAATGGTATTCAAAACTTCTTTAACATTCTAGCAAATTATGGAACACAATTTTTCAAACGATAACATTTTACTTCTCCTTTTTTTTTTTTTTTACATAAATCCAAAAAAAAGTTTATCTTCTCAAAAACAAACGCGCCCGAGAGAGAAAGCGGCAGGCTAGGAATAAAAAAAAAAGGGTTGGGGATAAGAAGGAAACGAAGATAACAGCTTTTGTTTAGGATGGTTAGATATTAGAAAAAAGAAACAACCGCAATTTATTTCTTTATTTTTCAATACAAAATTGTAAATATATGGTCAAACAAATCTCTCTTATCTCTGTGCGCCCCATTCAAACTGCACCTCCTGCAGCATATTGGCACAGAGATCTTCTTGATATTTCTCTCTCTAAAACTTTTTTTTATCTCTCTCTCTGAAACCAAAAAAGTTTTGGGTTTTTCACCCCTCTCCCTGTCTCTCCATAAATCCGAGAAATAACTGCAGATTTTCTTTATACTGTGACCCATCAATACATTCGTAACAAAGCATTTCAATGATTGGATCTTCAAAGAATATTGTTTCCTTCTCCATAGTCACGTTTACGCTTGTATTTTTTTCATTTCATTTTGTTCACTCAGGCGAGCTTATGTTTGATCTTATATATAAAATATCCAGCCGAGCTTATAGAATATCCAGCCCAGCTTTCCATTGATGTGTTTGATTAATCAATAGAGAATTTGGAAACTGGGTTTTGACGGTTTTCCTTATGTTTCTCTTTTCATATAATTTCAAGCATCAAAATTGCATTTTTATGATTTTTTTTCATCGTTCTCTTGAAATCTCAGTTGGGCATCAGTAAATTGTTATGCTATCGATTTGTTTAGCCCTTGGCCTTCTGCAACTAAAAAGCAGCTCTCCAGAAGACGCCCGCTTTAATGGGGGGAATTGATAAAAACGAATGGACTCCGTTTTTTGTCCCGAATGGAAATTTTTCGGGAATTTTCACCGAGGAATTGGGCTCCAGGTCGTTATCTGATCTTCTATCTGAGAATGGAAGCCAGGTACCTGTTGATTCAAATTTTGAGAAAGATGGTAATGGAGTCTCTCAAAAAATTTTACGCGATTCCTATGGGTTCTCGTGCTTTCAACCCAATGAGGAGGAGAGCAGGAGTAGTTTTATGGGGCGGTTAGCAGCAAGAACAGGGGTTAGCATTTCAAAAATTAATGTTTCAAATATCAGATCAAACGATCCATTTTCATCTCCAGGGGTTCGATCTCCTTATCTCATGATTCCCCCTGGCCTAAGCCCGACCACATTGTTGGAATCTCCTGTACTTCTCTCCAATTCCACGGTGAGAACTTCAGCCTCAAATTTGTTGGTTTTGTTTATAAGATGTAACTTGGTTTGTTTCATTTATAAGACTAGACAATGAAGAAGAATGGATTTTTTTGTTGTGTTTTATATTTTGTTTTGTCTTTATATTTTGTTTTGTCTTTATATTTTCTTCAATTTGATTGTCAATGATCATGAATAATGAATATGCATTTGTTAGGCGAATAGAAATCTTTAGCAGTTAATCCTGCATTTTACTGGATTAAAGTGAGATGATTCAAGAAAATAAATCCTTCTTTGTTTGGAATTTTTTCTTTATTCAAATTTGGAATTTCCAACTCAAAGAGTCAATATAGTATGCCATCCTATAGTTTCTCAACTTTCTCATGTTTTCAGGTCAAAGCCTGTATAGGTATTGTCAAAGAAACATTTTAGACCATCTTTAAGGTCTCTACTGACTACTAACATTACCCTCTTATTAGATAGAATTGAAGAAGGCCTTTCTTCACAGTGACTTTTTTGAGAAAAATCTATGTACACCTAACCTTAATTTGTGTTCCTAACTTGTTTGTGGACTTAAGAATGCTCTATGCAAACAAGCAAGTATAGCTTAATTACAACTATTACCATTCGGATGGTTTCTAACTTTCACAAGAGCTTCCTCAAGAACTTTTATAGTTCTTCATTCCTCGTCCATTAAGTGGATGGCTTCTTTTTTGTTAGAACTGCTCTCAAAGGCTTTGGAACAATGATTCAAACTCAGCTGAGTTACTCGGACTCAGCGCCTTGCCAAGCTGAGTACTCTGGTCCAACTCGAGCCTCAAAATTTTTAAAAAATTGTAAAGAAATATAAAAATATGGAATCAATGTATAAAAATCATGTATGTAATTTGGATTTTTTTTACAATGATTTGTGAGTTTTTTGTCATATGCCCAATTTTTATATTTTCCTATGTTTTTGGATTTTTCTAAAATATTTCCAACCATAGATCAATTTTTTCTAAATCCATTTTTTATATATTCGTTTAGCTTTGTTGGACATTTTTTGTTGTCTTGGGTTTTGTTTCAGTTTTACAATTTTTATTTATTATTAAACATTTTTTATTTTTAAAAATTTTTTAGGGCCTTTTGCCTATACATTACTTGGGCGAGTCCATTTGGATCCAGCCAAGTTGCTTGCCTTGAGCTAGGGCCGAGTCCAAAGGCAAAGGTGAGGTAAAAAACTTTGCTTTGGAATGATGAAGTGACTGCTCAGGTCCATTTTCGGCGTTGAAATTGCCACCCTATACGTAGAATTTGTGAACACAAATATGTCCGGCAGCCCGACCTCATCTTGTGCGTAGGTCTGAAGGTTACCACCCTTTACATAGGATTTGTGAACACAACTATGTCGGGCAGCTCGACCTCATTTTGCGCATGGGTCCGAAGGTTTCTAATCTCTAGAGGTTAATATCGACTATACTTAGGTTGCAACGATCTTTAATCACATTCCTTATTAGCTGAATGTAGGAGCCCTTGTCTAGTTTTACACTCAATAGTATGAGTGTCGCTAAGATGAGGATGTTGAGATGGATGAGTGACAAGACAAGAAATGATAGAATTTGGAATGAATACATCCGAGGGAACTTAAAGGTGGCTCCAATAGGTGATAAGATAAGCAAAAGTACACTTAGGTGGGCTGGCCATGTGCAACGTTGACTTAGAACAACACTGGGTAGGAGGGGCGATTTGGTTCAAGTGGAAGGCTCTAAAAGGCCAAGGGGAATGCCCAAAAGTACCTGAATGAAAGTAGTGAGAAGAGATATGGTAACTTATGGTCTGACGGAGGGTATGACCCTTAATAGAGCGAACATGATTCGTTTAGTCAACCACAAATACTTGGGATAAGGCTCAGAGGATGATGATGATGATGATGATGCTATGCAGATCATCACTAGGTTTTGAGGGGCCTTATTTTACCCAAAAAAGGTTTTGGAGGCCTTAGCACTGAGTTACCTTCTAGATCTTGTCTACTTATTCTGGACTACCATATAATTGCCTCATCACCTCTTCTCTTGGTGACCTACTCCAAGTACATACACTTTCATACACACCACAATTTTGTTGATCCAAATTTTTTTGTACATGTTATTCTATTAATACAAAGAGTTATTTCTTCACAGAAATGTTACCAATGCTCAAGTTTACTGACATATTCTCCCACAGTTGTTTATGTTTCTACCTAGAAACTAGGATCCAGTTTGTGTATTTTCTTAGCAAGAAGAAACTGCTTATGGTCCCTTGCAAATGATATAAGACTCGATCCATTGGACTACACTTGCCTGAGGTTATGTTGCGTAGTATTTCATCATAGTCCTCTCGCATTGAAAGCCATTGGATTAGGATATAGACTAGGTTCAATGGACTAGATTTTTTTTTGTTGGGTTTATTTTGTAGCATTACTATGTGGGGATTAGTTGTGCCGATGCATGTTTGTGGGTGATCCATCGTGGAGAATCTCCTTTCCTTGCTTCCATAGACTGTCCAAGCAGTTTCAATGACTAAAGCTTTGCAGAGCTTTTGAGTGTCTATGCCATTGGTTTTTGTTTTCAGTAAAAGCTTTGTCGTTATTTTAGGAGAAACTTACTGAGAGATACCCTACCACATCCATCATTTTAGAAGTAGGGTTATTTTTCTGATCAATTTCCTCCAATGGTTTTTCATCCTTGTTTTATAGGTTTTTATTAACCATGTCATTAGTTATAATGCTTCTCTTATCCTACATTAATTTATTTGTAAAGGAAAATGTTTTTCTTGTTATATTTGAATTGAATGTAAAATAATAACTCAAAGCATTTTAACTATCATATTTTTGTGTTCAAATTTGTTTCACAGTGGCATCATTGATAATCATGCTTTTGCTGTATGCTACTTGTCTGGGTTAAATTTATAGCAATAAAGACTCCCTCATGTTAGCTCACCCAAAAAAAAGGCCTCTGATATTCTGATGCTTCAGGGGTTTTAACTTTGTCTTTGTAGGCCCAACCATCTCCCACAACAGGCACATTTCTCTTTTCATCATTTGGCCATGGAAGTCCTGTGTCAATATCAGCAGCTCCCGATTCAAATACAGATCAACTTTTTGGGGATGCAGATACTTCATCATTTGCTTTCAAGTCTCATGTCAACTCAGATTCCACCAATCTCAGTGGGGGAAACCAGTTAGTTCATCAGGCAAGCATACAAAGAGCACGCAATCTCCTGAATTAAATTAATAAATGAAGAAAATGGACCTCAGCATAATGAATTAATTATGACATTTATGTAATTGCAGATCCTCTATTTATTTTTTCTTCAACAGCATTCCTTGTTCATTTCCCTTAGTTTGAAGTTACTGTTCACTGCTCTGTTGAGAAATACAAATTTTCAGTGTTGAATGAATTTTGAGCAACAAAAGAAAAACTTCAGAATTTTTATGGATTCCTTTAAAATTTATTACTCATTGTTTTATTCTTTGTTACTGGGTAATTGGAGTCACTAAAATTCTCCATATCTTGTGTTCTAACATATCTCACTTATGATATTCTCTTGAATTATTTATTTGTGGGTGTGGTTTGTATAAAGCTAAGGCTCTAAGCAATCATAGTAGAGTGCACCTTCTAATAGTGTCGAGAAATGTGGTTTCAATACTAGAAATCTTTCTGATAGCTTTAAAATATAATTTCATCTTTAACTATAAAATTTAAAGCTTTAAAAATAGTGTAGATCAAAGTGATCTATGAAAATCTTGAAAATTGACGGTTCCGCATTACAAGATGCACTATTTCCAAAAATTTAAATCCATTTTTTTCTCATGTCCATTCATCTTGATGTCGAGATGATCAATTTGAGGATATTTGGGCATCAAAATAACCTCTTCAGGTAAAATTTTTGAGGTGGGCTCTAATTTGATTGTTTAGAGCCTTGGCTCTATATAAAATTTTTCCTTTATTAATTTTTATGGATATGTTCATTTTAATCATTACTTGAGAAAAATTAAGATTCATAATTGTACAATCCATTGCACTTCAAGAGTAACCCCCCCACTGATATCCTATACTACACCCAATATAGAAACTTCTTCCTTAATGATCTCTACGAGAATCTTTAATGATATGCTTGCAGTGTCAACTTAGTGCTTTATTTTTGGTAACCTTACTATACTTGTTAGCATCCATCCGCAGCTTGCAATATATTAAAAGTTATCTTGAAACAAATACACTTTCATGCACATTAGAATGTGCATACTATGTTCTAGCACATCTTACTGTTTATTTTTCTATGTGCCCACGTGCTTGATTGACAGCACATACATAAAATCCACAAAAAGTATTTGGAAGTTCTTTGTTCATATTTGCATTGACAAAAAATAAATGCACTTCAATATCTGTCTCCTTTCTCTTTTATCTAGGCCAGTTCCTCCTCAAAGCAACAGCAGTCTTTTCCAAGTATTGACCTCTCTGTTCAACCCGAGGTTCCAATTCAACCTCAAAAGTCAGTTCTTACTGAGGTTGAATCTCAGAATCAGGAAAGACTTTCTTATCATGGAGAGTTTGTGAAACAGTCCACCACAACTGCAGACTCGATCATTTCTTCGTCGAAACCAGAAGTGCCCTCTCAAATTAATGAAAGCCCCGAGTGCAGTCTTTTGCAAACTCAGGCTCCTATCAGTATTCTCGAATCCATAACTGAGGAACCCCAAAATGGTGAAGAGGAGCAGAAGGCATCAATCGCTCCCATCGTGTTTGGACCACTCTCTGATGACGGTTATAATTGGAGAAAATACGGGCAAAAACAAGTAAAGGGTAGCGAATTCCCTCGAAGCTATTACAAGTGTACACACCCTGGTTGTCAGGTTAAGAAAAAGGTAGAGCGCTCTCACGATGGCCAAATAACCGAAATTATCTACAAGGGAGGTCATGAGCACCCAAAACCTCAGCCGAATAGAAGATCATCAGTTGGGTCTTCTATCCCACTCAATGAAACATCATCTGAGATGCCTGAGGGCCATCTTGCGCTTGTTAGTGCTGATGGCGAATCAGTGTGGAAAAGCAACCAGCTGGGAGCCAATACGATTGGTAATGATTGGAAGGGTGATGGCATCGAAAGGATGTCCACAAATTCTCTTGTTTCAGAGTATTGCGATGTATCTTCTTCTTCCCAAGCTCAAACCTGCAGTCACCTTGAATTGGCAGATCCTCCTGAGCTTTCATCATCTTTTTCTGATGATGAGGATGATGGGGATACCCATGGCGGCATGCCATTGGGGGATGATGGTGAGGACGATGAGTCAGAGGCAAAGCGTAGGTGGGGTTTTCGTTTCTTTACTTCCGGTGAATGTATGGTACACATTTCGTTACTTTTGATGACCTGTTGAGGACTTGAGAGAGTTTGTTGTGTATGTTTTTGATGTGATGGGTGCATTGCTTGATATTTGGTGATCTCAGGAAGAAAGATGTGTGCACGATGGACGTGAGCGCAGCATCAAGATCTATACGTGAACCAAGAGTTGTGGTCCAAACAACCAGCGAGGTCGACATCCTTGATGATGGGTATCGATGGCGCAAGTATGGGCAGAAAGTGGTCAAAGGAAATCCAAATCCAAGGTTGTTTTTTTCCCTAAATGCCCATATCTCAATTCCTTATCATTGTTTTTCTGGCCTATCTGTGATACTAAGATTTTCAATCGTTAGCTTGATAAGAGAAAGAAAATGGAATCACCTCCTCCTCAATAGTTGTGATGCTACTATTTATTGTTTCAATTCTTGGATTTACAATTGCTAGTGTGATGAGAACTAGAACATGCGCTTACCTCTTCAATAGCGTTTGTCTATGTGTTTGTGATAGTACTTTAGGGTTTTGCAATTCTCAGTCTGAGGAGAGAGAACATTTGTTTACCTCTTCAAATAATGTTTGTCCATGCGCTTGTGATACCACTTGAGATGTTTCATACATAGTCTCATGAGAGAGAAATGGGATGAACACAGGAGCTACTACAAGTGCACGAACACTGGGTGCTCGGTGCGAAAGCACGTTGAGAGAGCATCGCATGATAAAAAGGCAGTCATAACGACATATGAGGGCAAGCACAACCATGATGTTCCCACTGCCCGCAACAGCAGCCACTCGGGCTCTACAGGTGCCCCACCCACCTCGGGTGGGCCGACTGCTAGCCCTTCAGCCCAAGCCCACATCCTCAAGCCTGAGCCAGCTCAGGCCCACACCAGCATGGCACTTCCACCCCCTCCTAAGGTTGGTCAACTTCACACCACGTCATCGCTCGGGGCCTTTGGCCAGCTGGGTCCTGACCCAGGTTTCTCCATGATGAGTCAGCATGGTTTTTCGAACTTAACTTGGGCAAGATTAGGGATTGTACCTGTTCCGCCTTTAAATTCGTCATATATTAATGGGGGAGGGCAGCAGCCGAAAAGTGAGATCAAGGAGGAGACAGGTTTCGATTCTGGGATGCCCATGTTAAATGGTTCAGGTTATCAACAAATGATGAGAAGGTATCAATTGGGACCTCACATGTAAATATATATTTTTCTTTTTAATTTTTTTGTTTATGGCTTGGGGGGAGTTCGAAATTTTGTTAATATAGTATGGAGATTTATTTTGTATCACTAAATGTAGTATTTATGGAAGAAAGAAGAAAGAAGGGGGAGTTTATTTCTATAAAAATGTAAAGAAGGAAACATATTTTCGGAGCTTTTTTTCTCGGCTAAAGGGAGAGAAGAGAGGAGAAGGAAAAGACAGTGTGAGGCTTATTTTGAGCTGTATTTATTATGGATTGAATTTTACCTAGTGACGGCTTTGTTTTGTTGGGTACAGAGCAATTTAGATTTTCAACTAAAAACTGCAGGCCTTGTGTTTTAAGATGAGAGATGCTTTGTGACCTCCTTGTACAAAAAATAGTCTCTTTCTTTTTTGTAGACAATCCCAAGATATAAAGGTTTTGGAAAAAATAGTCTCTCTTTTTTGTAGACAATCTCAAGATATAAAGGTTTTGGAATGATACATGCCTTTGTCTCATCTTAGTACTGGCCTAATAAGCATTTCGATGCATAAATGGTCTACCATTAACATGAAATAGATCATTTGGGGAAGTAGTCTTTCCATTCCAAGCATATGAACTCGTCATTCACATGCATGAGTTTTGGATGTTGTGCTTCTCAGTTATACATAATGCAACCCGGTGGATTTCATTGTGTTCCATCCTTTTTTTATTTTTTAAAATGAATTTTCACGCAAATTACTTCCCTTAGGATGCGCAAGACAACGCTGACAGTCCCCGATTAAGTCATCCAAATCACTTTATGGTTGTATGTTGATATGAAACTCTAAAAGAGCTCATGTGCTGTGCTTCCGTGGGAACAAAACTGTGTATCTACTCCCCTGGTCAAAACACTTAGCTAGATGATATTTTTAGTCTAAAATTTTTGGAATCATATAAAAATTAGTAGATGATTATTTTTACAATTGTTTTTTGAATTTCAAGTTTTGTGATAGATTTTGAGGTATCAGTTCTTTACAATATAGAGAGTTTATTTGGAAAAATGGTTTTGCTGAGATTCTTCTATGTTTTGTGGAAATTACATCCCCAAAATTTGTGATCTAAAAAGTATCCCTAGCATGTATTTTTCACGAGGGTGTAAATGGATAGTATACTTCCATGGGAGTAGGAAGTCTATGGGGATTTTAAAATATAATACATTAATTAAATTTTCTAACCAAGTCAAGAGTCTTTTATGTTTTTACCTGCCTCATGATTAATAATTATTAGAAGTCTGGAATTTCAAATTTTAAAATAATAGAGTCAATAGACAGATTCTTAATTAGTTTCTAATTTATTGGATCGTATGAAAATTATACCGCAACTATAATATTTAGCAGGCAGCTGGACTCATCACTTGTGGGGTGCCATCCATCGCCATCAAAGAACTAAATAAAGTTTTTCCTCCAAGGATTTGTTTCTCATGTCAGAAATTGAGAAGCTCAAAATATTGACAGAAAAGCAAAACCCCACAAAAAGGTCAGCCTTTGGTGCCACTCCTTCACAACATTAGACAATCTGATCCAAACCATTAATGCAAAAAGACTGATTTACAAGAGCAACCAAACCATGCCACCAAAAAAGGGCCATAACAAGCTTTACAATATTACACTTCCTACACTATCAATTTGGTGGAGTGCCGGGTTGTGTCCCTCTACCACATGCAGGCTGAGTTTTATATGCTTTCCCCATGGGCTCCATGCTTATTTGGCTGGCTATCAACTGTGACCTGCTACAAGGATTAGACTGTGATCGAGACCTGACGAGATTTGAATTACCTCCATATCTTGAAGACATTCCACCAATGAGGGCTCTGCTACATCCCTCGAGCTCCCTAACCCGAGCCTCCCATTCTTACCACAACCCCATGCCCACACTTCCTTCATCGAACTAAGTGCGAGTGAATGCACACGCCCTCCACATACAGACACTATATCCTCACCTTCCAAACCCACCACCTTTAACGGCAAATCATTCACACCTGATCTACCAAGCTGATAATTTTGATTCCATCCCCATGAAAAAATCTCATAGCCTGATTCTAACGATTGACGGCACAAGGCAAGGGAATGACCTAGACCAGCAGAAATGCCTATAATTTGGTGTTCCTTTATATCAACGGGGCCCAGGCTTGATTCCCCTGAAGTCCTACTTAGCTGGCCATATGTATTGTTTCCACAGCTCAAGAGAGAACCATTTCCTGCAAAAGACAAAGCCTTGTGAATGTCAAAGGCTTGCCAAATTAACATAATAGAAATTCTATGTGATTGATCCTATCGACCATTTCCTTAATATATGGAAAGTTAGAAAGGCATCACAATATGCATCGATATGGTTGCTTCATTCAGGGATGTATGTCTACTTAATTAGTATCATTTTTTGGCAATCTGCAATAAAACACAGTAAAATTTAATTATACTTTAACCCTAAGCAGTTCTAACCCTCCAGGCTGTTTGGCAGTGTAAGCCATTTTTTTTTGGTAAGCTCAAGGGTCGGTGGAAAGTACAGTTAGTTTGTGCACTAAGTCAAAAAGCGCTGAGCCCAAAACCATAGATCTTGTTGGTTTGGCTGCATTGTCATATGTTGAATTGGTACATGGATTTCATACGTTTCAAAAAGAAAGTACACAGCTCTGAGAAGTCCTCGGCAATGATTAAATGAATAAAACAGCTGCAATGCGCTGGCAATTCCTAGTCATTTGAGGAGGCTTTGTGGAGTATGATTGGGCTTATTTATTAAAACTAGTTTGAGTTAAAGCTAATCTTTGATACATAACTTTTATGTCAGCAATTAAGGGATACAAGTAGCTAAAAATTGTAGCCTTAAGGGGGCACTTCCTCATGCAATGATCTTGTCTAAATTTTCAAGCAGGTAAATTTTGAAATTGATAATTATCAGCTTTTACAAATTAAACTGATGCTATTAATTTATCGATAAGGGTAGAATACAAGTTAGATGCCTGCTAAATGCGGGAGAAGATACATACTGCTGAGAATTAAAGAATGATCAAAGCCACACGCAATATCGGCAACATCAACACCAATTAAATCTGGCAAAAGAGATGGTTCCCAAATAATGGGCATATCTTTCTCCTTTTCCATATCATCTGAGACGAGCTTCTCTGCAACTTGTAGCAATGAACTAGTGTCTTCAGTGACATTTCTAACTACAGGAGAAGTGAAACTTGGTAATGAAGATGGCTCCATGTTCCCTACTTGTCCCAATCTTCCATTGGCTGAATAACCCCAACCAAAGACCCTCCCATCTTTGGCAAGAGCAAAGGTATGCCCCCACCCAAGAGCTACCTATTTCATGTGATAATCAAATTCAACAAGGTGACCATTAAATCGAAAGTGAACAATTCCATTCCTAGTTAAAAGGCCTAAATCAAATTGCAAACAAAAAAAAGGAAAATCTAAATTTAATCATTGAGGCGAGTAGCAATATGCAACATACTGTCGGAATAGCTGACCATATGCAATGCATTTTACAACATGCATTTTGGGCAACAAAGGTGAATGTGTCACATAACTTTGGGACAATTGGGTTTCTAAAAGGCTTCAATCTTAAGATCATATGATCAATTGTGAATTCAAGTGAGACTGAGAAACTAATCACTGACTTATAATTGACTAATCCTATTTCATGTGATAATCAAATTCAAAAAGGTGACCATTAAATCGAAAGTGAACAATTCCATTCATAGTTAAAAGGCCTAAATCAAATTGAAAACAAAAAAAAGGAAAATCTAAATTTAATCATTGAGGCGAGTGGCAATATGCAACATACTGTCGGAATAGCTGACCATATGCAATGCATTTTACAACATGCATTTTGGGCAACAAAGGTGAATGTGTCACATAACTTTGGGACAATTGGGTTTCTAAAAGGCTTCAATCTTAAGATCATATGATCAATTGTGAATTCAAGTGAGACTGAGAAACTAATCACTGACTTATACTTGACTAATCAGAGCAGTTCTTTCATTCTCTTCATTATGGAATATTTGAAATGAATCAAGGATATCCTATATAATGATGAATAGGATTGCCCCCACACTATTTTTTTTGTACATGACTGTAATGGGCAAGATCTCTTGAGCCCCAACCATTTTTTGTACAGGGACCCTCTTTAGGGTAGTCTATTTTTTGCGGAGGAACCTGGCTTCTGGGTCGCCCTGACATTATTTTGCCGAGGAATCGGGCCAGTGGGTTGCCTCGTGTGACGCATGTATTTCTCTTCCCCTTCAATACAGTTAACACTCTCAAACAAAAAAAAATTGATGAATAGGAATGTTAATAGAGGTGTGCAGTATTCACTTTCATGTGGCTGTGGATTCAATCATTCTTTAGGACAAACTAAAATTATTGCTCAGAAAGAAGACAAGGATGAACTTGAACTGCACAGGAGATAAGTGGATTGAAAAAATAAATTGGGAAAACTATCACCTATTGAAATAATAAATTAAGGAAACCATCACACATCAAATTTAGAAGGCTGTCACTATGATTATATGGCTAATTGGCTGTCATTCATTATATTATGCAGGCATGACTCAGGTAAAATCATATCTTGTGAGATACCTCTACAAAAGCCTAAACCCAGTGGCTCTGTAAATGTTGCACTACATTGGAGGCTTCAGTTTTTCTTTGTTGATCTATGAGGGCTGGATGTTATTACAAGGACATTTTTTTTTGAAATATTTTATAACAAGGTCATTGCCCACCCAAGGATGCCTTTCAGAAACACTAGCTCCCGATTTTTGTCGATATATCCTATTCATGGCTATATCTTATATCTTAAAGTTAGCCGAACCCAAGTAGTTGGAATAAGGTTCGGATGATGATGATAATCTTAGATGTCAAGGTTTTTCTCAATATCACGCACCTTCACTATTTCTACTCTTGAAAGTGCTTCAATCTGAGTGGGCCGAGAAGCCTCAGTTACTCCTCTACCAAGACCAAGCTGTCCTCGCTTGGATTTCCCCCACACCCACAAAGAACCATCATCACCTATCACTGTAGAAACCACACCAGATGCAAAAGCAGCTCGAGCTTTCACATGATCCAATCCTTCTACCTTTTTGGGCTGGTTCCAACTATCCCTGAAAGACGTAGCACCATTCATAAACCATTCACCATTAAAATGCATAGCAAACCTTGTGCATTATGATATCTACGTTAACATCAAATTTCAAACTACAATTCAGCAATACCAAAGCTGCATAACCTACTGATGAAATAGATTTTTTGGATGGAATATGGAGGAAAAGATAATAAAGGACAGTGGGGATATGTTATTCAGACAAAACCAACTAAAACTCCAGAAACTACGTGCTTGCTCTATGGAGAAATGCAAGGATTTTGTGATTCACGCTTAAACAATGTCAAGGTAAATATTTTTCTTCATTTTCTCTCTGAAAAATGCAAATATAATCCTTCATCAATGTATTTTGACTAAAAAAAAAATGTATTTTGACTAGTGCTTAAAAAATTGCCAGGCCAACCCAAGACTCGCCTGAGCCAGGCGATTTTGAGGAAAAAATCCCAGAATAGCTCAAGTATTATTTTCTCATAATTTAAAAAAATTTCTTATTAGAATTGCCCAGTCCTACTTGGATTCGCCCAAGTCAGACTGGGGGTACTCGGGCTCGGGCCCCTAGTTGGTCAGAGCCTCCGACTTTCTAAACATTAATTCCGACTAATGAGATATTTGTCATTGTTTATTTGAGTCTCAAACACTCCCAAATTTATCCCTAAAACATTCCCAAATTTATCACTAAAACATTCAGAAAAGAAATTCAGACCTAGAAAATAGTACAAATGACTTGCCCATTTACTAAATTTATGCCAAGTATTCTATCCGCAACCAATGCCCATAAGCACCACACAGTTTCAATGACAGTTTACTTATCCATTAGTTTGGTTAGCCATTCTAGACTTTCACCGATTTGCCAGATTTATATGCAGTTCCATCAACTCTCATTCCAGTGTCTTTGATGAATCTTTTATACAAATATATCTAAAACCAATTGTACCAGCATTATTTTTCTTAGCAATTCCAACTCATTCCGAAGCAGTTAATCATTCTAGATCAATGCACTATTCTATCAAATTCTCTCCCCTTCTAACAAATACTATTCCACATATATTTGTATCATCTTAGAATCCATGTCTTAGAATTCTTATGTGAGAGAGAAAAAAGGAAAAGAAACCATGTTATCAGAAGATGGAAAGGGCATAGACCAAAGATATGGGTCTCTCTATCTACAAAACAACAAAGCGGTCTCTCTCTCTCTCTCCCTCTCCCCCCCTAACCTGGGTGCTGAGAGGCCTCTTCCAAGCTGACCCTCATCGTTTCTACCCCATGACCACACCTCTCCATCGCAAGTAAGAGCCAGAGAGTGGTAATGGCCGCAACCCACATAGCAAACTTCACGTTCAGGAAGACCTGCAACTGGTGTGGGCTCATAACCATCGACCCCATAACCGAAGGGAAGTCCAAGTGCGCCATGGCTTCCATCTCCAAAGCTCAACACCCTCGTCTCTGAGAATAATGACGTTTTGCTGCAAAAGAGGCGCCTTTTGATTGCTGAACCAGCGCAATGAAACCCGCCATTAACGATGGTTTTTCTCAAGCTCAGCAATGTCATCGTCGTTGCGTTGAGAGAGAGAGAGGGAACCCCGCGTCTGCTGTTTAGCTTTCGAAAAAACAGAGAGAAACCCCGCACCATCTGCCTAGGGCCATCCGGATCTGAAACTCAAAATTTAGATCCTATTTGGATCCGGGTATGGATCCAAATTTAAATTCAAATGTCAGATCCAGATCCAAAATTTAGATCTCCAAGCATAAATGAATTCGATCCAATCTATTTTTTAAAAATAAGATATAGTATTATATAAACATATATATTATAATTTATATGAATAATAACACCTTCCCTTACCATGTGTGTAGGACCACAAAGGATCACCATTAAAGTTGTCATGAATCTCTAGAAAAGTTATCACATGCGTATGGACTCTCCTACTCATGTGTGTACGACCCCAAAGGATCATAAGTTGGTATGGATCTCTAAAAAAGTTATCATATCAGTATGGGACTTGATTTTTCTATAAATCCGTATCAAAATTAATGGTGATCTTTTGGGGTCCTATATACATGGATGGAAGAGGGTCCTATACAATAATTTATCAAATTATATATATACATTTATAAACAACAACATAGCATAATTTACTTCTACTCCCTCAAGGATTTTTTCAGTGATCATTCTAAAATTATTAAATGGTTATTTTAAAGTAAAATTCGAGTTTTATGACACTTAGAGATCACCATTTAATAATTTGATGGTCTCCATTCAATGACATTATTGTTTTAAATACATAGAGGGCAAAAATTACAAAAAAATTTCTTATTGACCTTAATCCATAGGTTGAAGAGATTACTTCCCTAAAATTTAGGATTCTAAAATTAGGATTAGAGTAAATATACATTCTACTCCTAAGGAATAAAATATCTTTGGTCTAGCAAAATTACTTTATTTGGAAGGACGATCTACTCAAATTCGATCTCTATACAACACACGTGAGATCACAGTATGCTCCTAGGGAGCATAAAATGTTTATGGAGGAGACATATTAAACATGGAATTTAGATCAGCTGTGAGGTTTGTACTTTGTAGAGTGCATCAATTTTAATGATAGGCGTGCCTCAAAATTATGCCCAAGCATGCATTTTGGTGCGAAAAGGCTTGGAATGTGATATGAAAATCAATTATCAGCCTTAATTATGAAATCTAAAACTCTAAAAATTGAGTGTATTTATAAAAAAATAAAAATTAAGATAATAAATGTTCGAGGTAGTGTGTTGCCCTACTTTCATTACTTAAAAACCTTTTTTCCTCTTCATATCCATAAATCTCCTTGTCCGGATTATCAATTTGAGAGTTTTCGGTAAGGGTGAGGTTTATATAAAGTGGAGGCTCTAAACAATCAAAGTAAAGCATATCTTCAAATGGTGTCGAAAAATGTAGTTTTAATACTAGAAATCTTTGTGCCAGCCTTAAAATATATTTTCATCTTTAATTATAAAATTTAAAGCTTGAAAAATAGTGTAGATCTAGCAGATCTATGAAAATTTGATAATCTTGAAAATTGACGATCCAAAAATACGTTATAAGATGCATTATTTCAAAAATTTGAAATCCATTTTTTTTTCATGTTCATGTATCTTGACGTCGAGATGATCAACTTGGGCATCAAAAACTTCTAGTGAATTTTTTAGGTGGAGATTGTTTAGAGCCTCAATTCTATATAAATTTTTTCCTCTAAAAAAAATATGTTTATTGCCGAGCCTTTCCACATGTTAACGGGCGTCCAAAATAAAAAGGGTAAGGCTTGTATAGAGCCGAGGCTCTACACAATCAAATTAGAGCCCACCTTCAAATAGTATCAATAAATATAGTTTTAATACTGGAAAATTTTTTAATAGCCTTAAATTATATTTTTATACTTATTTCTAAAATTTAAAGCTTAAAATATAGTATAGATCGAGCTAATCCATAAAAACTTGAAATTTTGAAAATTGACAGTCCAAAAATGCATTACGAGCTGCATTATTTTCAAAAATTGAAATCCATTTTTTTTCTCATGTCCATACATCTTGCTGTTGAGATGATGAATTTGATGATATTTGGGCATCAAAACAAGTTCTTATAGTGAAAGTTTTGGGGTTGGTTCGAATTTGATTGTTTAGAGCCTAGGCTCTATATAAACTTTTTACCAAATAAAAAATTGATTTGTATAAAATCCATATCCGCCAATTCTCTCAAAATTATTTTCTAATTCAATTATCGTTTAGACTTTGTCCGACACCAACAATATGTACATCTAAGTTTGAGGGATCAAAGCAACACCGTGCGACAAGTAACTCGGTCTGTGTTCTACATTACTTGCAGTAGTCATTCACAAATACGCCATTACTGAATTCAATTTCCTACCCTATTAACTGCATTGCAGTACCTCGGTGTCTGCTTTTTATGGAAATTAGGGTTTCATCCTTTCTTCTTTGAAACTGCAAATAAGTTCCTGCCTGCGGCTACTGGTTTTACTTTTACCTTGCAATCTTCACAAACACCAACCTTTTGCGCCATGCCACCTTAATTGTCTTCAGGTCTCTTACTCCCCTTCTTGTTGCCGCTGCTGGACCGCTTTAGTAGGCAGCCGTATCCAACCAAATTCACTGTTACTCCACTGATTCAGCTTTTACATTAATTGCTTATTCATGGGCTTTTGATTATTTGATCACCATTACTACTGAGATGGTCTATATCAAATATATGGCTGCCAATTTGGGTTTGAGCAGTTGGGGCTGTGTCTTTTACAATAATCTCTTGTTTTTGCTTATGGCTCCCATCTTCTGGTTTATCACTGGAGAGTATGTCCTAGCGATTCAAGCGTCTAAGTCTAGTTTCTGGGTTCGATCATGGGCCTCTTTTGCAGTTGGTTTGTCTTGTGTTTTTGGTTTAGTGATAAGTTTCTTTGGATTTGCTGTGAGCATGGCTATTTCAACAACTGCTTTTGCAGTCACTGATGTTGTGAATAAGTTTATCATGGTTTCCATTAATGTGTTGATATGAGATAAGCATGTTTGATCCATTTGGCCTTATTTGCTTGCTTTTTACCATTTTGGAAGGTGTTTTATATCAGCAATCAATAACTAAGGCCCCCCTCAGATCGAGTCTACAGGGGGGGGGGGGTGAAACTATCTGTTGGTGTGGCTGGTAATTTTTTGAGCATTGATTGAGGAAAGCGATAAACTTGGTAAACTTTCCAATGTGTGATTTATGGGGTGAGGATGATCTTTGGGGGAAGGAAATTTTGGCTATTAGAGGAAGGTAGTGTACAAGACCCATGTGGCAGAATGGAGATTCTGCTTCTAGGACTAGTTTAGAACACTGCATAAAGGGGGCATTTTTATATCATTATATTGTCCTTCCCCTTGGTCATTGCATTCCTTGATAATGGCCTTGTCGAGAGAACAGTTGTTATGGAATTTCTCGTATATTATTTTTTTGGCTTGTTTCCTACTTTCAAGCGTTTGGACAATATGTTGATACTTGTCCTCATGATGCGTAGATTCCTCCACCATTTGTCCTGTACATGCTGCAAGGAAACTCCATAAGTTCCAAGTGTATCTTTTGATGTGAAAAAAGCAAGAGCAAACACAATCTGTTCAACTTCTATAACATGTGGGTCTGGATTATTATCATCTTGGAGCAGAATTCCATGCAAATGTAAGTGTGAGCCAAATGATGAAAATATAAAACCTGAAGTTTTTTTCATCTATAATTCTGAAAATCCTGTTCATTTGAAGTGTTTATTGATGTCCTTGTTGATATGTCTGAACTTTGTCACTCTTGTATGCAACAAGTTTTGTCACCTGGTTGACCTTTCGTACTTTGCCATGTACAATGCATCAGTGGGTTGTTTTACATGAAGCTCTAATGCTGCTTACACCTACATCTGGTTATTTTTTAGTAATATTTATCTGGACATTTCTTCATATCTATTATTATTTGGGCATTCATGAATCAAAGTTGAGGGGTTTCAATCGATGCAACCTAGCTTGTAGGCTTTTAATTGGATGTTAGAAGATTCAACAATATTCATGATACCTGAGTATTTTACCTACCTCCATGGCCCCCTCCTCACTGTAAGGTTTACACAAGTTGTTGTGAGACTACGTGCTAAACTCTTATATTGTATTAATCTTACAGTCTTGGAAAAAAGAAGAAGAAATTGACCTCACACATTCCTGTGTATGTTTTGTTTCCGCACCTATAAGATGTAACTTTTTTATCTTAAGTTTATCATGCAGCTAGGAGCTTGATCCTCTCAAGCTTGAGAATATGATTAAATGTGGTCTTCTTATTTTTTTGGTACTCATGTTTGAGATTGGTGGGCTACAAAATCAATTCACAAATGCTTTAGGAGGTCAACAATTATCTTCCTATTTTGGGGCACAAAAACTTCGCTATCACAATATTATATTGTCCCTTACTGATCAAAATATCTAAGTTCTTTAGGCAAAATATCTAAGTTCTTTAGGTAAAATTATCCTCGGGATACAAGAAAATAGAATATTGAACACTGTCTTGCTTGTAGAAACGCACAATTATGACAAGATCAAGAGCACCAGATTTTCTAGAGAGATATTGCACAAGAAATGAGAGAGAGAGAAAGAGAGAGAGAAAATTGTGTTCAAGATCACTGTACGTAGCGCTCTGCGTACTTGTTTGCACCATATTTATTCTACTTAGTGCATCTAGATGGCCACTTTTTTTTTAAAATGTTAACTGGCTTTTCATTGAGTGTATGAAAAGTGCAATGATAAACAAAAAGAAAACGTGAGCAGGGGAAATAAGGAAGAAAGAGGAAAGAAAAGAACGTGAGAAGAGAAAAGAAAAGAAATATAGAGGAAAGGAAGGGAGAGAAAGAGAGAGAGAGAAGAAGCAAAAGGGAGCGGAAATACAAGGGGGAGAAGCCTTCACATCACCTGCATCGTTATTTGTTTAGCCAAGGAATCCGCTTTCTCATTCCTTTCTCTATTAACATGAGTGTAAAGTACTTCTCGGCCTTGAAGCTTAATCGAAATCCCATCCATAATCTGAGTTCATTGCCACGGGGTAGTTTCTAGGGATTTGCACCACCTGATGACATTTAAGGAATCACCTTCA